GAAACTATATCAAACACTTAGTAAAAATTTAGCGAAACTAAAGGTTTTACCATTTTGCCAAATCTAAAATGAGTTTATTCAAGCAACCTTAATCATGGGTCAATAATCCTGAAGCAAAGGAATTATTTAAATTTTTAAATCCTTTTCTTAAATTACCTGATCGTCGTACTCTTGGTGGTCGAATTTTAAAACAAGCTGTGGCAGAAGTAAATACAATAATGGATATTGCACTTAAAGAAGATCCAGTTGGTGTAACTTTAACATTTGACGGATAGACAAATGTAAAAAATGAACAATTATTAGGTTCAGTTTTATTAACTTCAGAAGGAAGGCCTTATGTATGGAAAGCAGTTGATATCAGTTCTGAATGTGAAAATTATGTTAAACTAATTTAAAAAACAGATTTAATGCTTTCTGAATTAAAAAATAAAAAAATTACAGTTTGTGCTATTGTTACTGATAGTGCATCAACATATGCAGCAGCCCGGTATTTAAAAAAAATTTTTTCTTTTTTTAATTTGTGTATTTTTATTATAATAATTTTTTTTTTTTAATATTAGGTGACGATTAAGACTTTCCAATAAATCTTTTATCTTTTTACCAAGTTTTGCTCATCAAATTAATCTTTGTGTAAGGGAAATTTTTAAAGAATGTATTAAATTTAAAACAACTATTGATAGTGCAATTCAGCTTGTTATATATTTTAAAAATGCAAACCATAAATTCTTTATTGCTCAATTATGAAATCAGCAATATGAAATCTATCAAAAGCATATTGCTATATCTATTCCAGGAGAAATACAATGGAATAGTCTTTTTAAAATGTGTGTTAGTCTTTTAAAGACTCAAAAAGCATTACAAGTAAGTAGTATTATTCCATTATTTAGCAAATTTATTAATATTTATATTTATTAATAAAAAAATATATAATATTAGATTTTAGCTATTAAATATGAACCACTATTTATTAAACCTAATCGACGAAGTGAAATTTTAACTTTACCACGTGACATATTTGAAATCATTAATTCAACTACATTTTGGGAAAATATTACGACAATTAGTAAAATTTTAGGTCTATATTGCAAATTACTTGATATATTACAACGTGATAAAGCACGTTTATTTCAAGTAATGCATAGTATAGGTTATTTAATTCAATTTTGGCTTAATTATCCAGATAATACTTTATCTACACATTTAATTAGTCGATTAGAAAAACGTTAGAAAGAATGGAAGTAACTGCTCCTTTTATTATCTTTTTTATTACATCTAGAATATCAAATGCAACAATTTAATAATACAATTCCTGGTATTAATTATGCAGAATTTGGTAAATGGCTTATGTATTATTATTATTCATGGTCTAGAAAAGAATCAAAATGTATTCTCCATGAATTTGATGATTTTCGATTGGCTAAATATTCATATGATCTTGATTTATATAAGCAATTCAATGGTGACATTTGGCGTTATTAGTGTTATGTTAGTGTTTCAACAAATGAATTAGGTTTTATAGCCTGTAGAATTTTTGGCATATGTGTGAATGCAGCTTTTGTAGAAAGACTTTGGAGTTGCATGGGATTTATACAATCAAAACGCTAAAATCGTTTAATGGTATGTTAATATTTTATAAAAAATATTATTACTATAAAAATGCTAATTTTTTTTTTATTGTATAGTCTTCTAAAGCTCTTAAAATTAGTCAATTAAGGGCTGATATCACATATAAGCATCATCTTAATAATAACTCTTCTCAATCAACATTTTTCGAACCTATTTTATTAGATAGTAACAATGAATAAGATTCTGATAATTTGAATAATTCAGAAGATATTACAAATGATGAAGCAGCAATATTAATAGAGGAAGAGCATGATAAAATACATGATGAATCAGATAATGAAGCAGAATTCCAATTAGAAAATGAGTTTAATGAATATCTTCAAAATTGGGCAGAAATGCTAGAAGAAGAAAGAATTAGCATTTTTGATGAAAATTTTGATGAAAATAACACTATAGATAATATTATTCATCCTGCCATTGACTTTAATGCTAAATGGAAGTTGGTAACTCTTTTTATAAATGAGTTAAATTTACATTTTTAATTGTATATAAACATTTTTTTTATATTTCTTTATTAAATAAATTTATTTTACTTTTGCAAAAATATTAATTAAACAATATGTATCATGTCATGTATATGCTAATTAATATCACTTAGTGCAGAAGATAGTAAATACCATCAAAACACTGAAAAAAAATATTAACATTTCCTTCTCCTTCTCCCATCATTCTAAGTTTTAAAGGATCCAGTTCATTATAAATATATCCTAAAGGTAAAATATTTTTATTTATTTATTGTAATTTTTTTTTTAAAAAAAAAAATATTTAACATTTCCTTTCCTTTCATAAAAAAGCTTATCTCTGATTGATTCAAGGTTTGAATAATCCAGTCTATCATGAACATGTCTAAAAGGTAAATTACTTTTTTAGTTTTTGTAATATTTTTTTAAAAAAAATAATTAACATTTCCTTCTCCTTCATAAATGAGCTTACCTCTGATCGATCTTAAGGTTTGAAGTATCCAGTCCGTCATGAACATATCTAAAAGGTAAATTACTTTATTTTAATTATTGTATTTTTTTTTAAAAAAAAATTAATTTACATTTCTTCTCCTTCATAAATAAGCTTACCTTCGATCGATCCAAAGTTTGTCTGTTATAAAAATATCCTAAAAACAAAAAAATTCTAATAAACATACCTTTTTTGATAGAAAACCAGACTATGTAACTAAAAATATCAGAATGATGATCTTCACTCACAGGAAAATACACTTCAAATATTTGGCTGTAGGGTTTCTCAAAACGAATTGAATCAAATATTTAAGCAATTTGAATTTGATTTGATTTTTTTAAATTGAATTGAATTGAATCGAATTGAACTCAAATATTTGATTGAATCAATTTGAATCAATTTGAATTTGATCAAATCAAATCAAATCAAATCAAATATTTGTCAAATCAAATCAAATCAAATATTTGATCGAATTGAATCAAATCAAATCGAATATAAATTTTTTTTTAATTTTTACAATGATATATTAAAATAAAGTTATTATAAAGGTTTAATTAAGAAAATTATTAGTAA